AACTTCCTAGCTGGCCTCGAGTCAGTTCTACTGGCCTCACCCCTTCCAGAAGACAGGCGCGCAGACATACGCAGCTGTGCCACTGGTATCCTTCGGCAAAAAAGACGCCAACAAACCCTACCGGCCGATGAAGCACAAGGATTACAATCACTGAGATCGGACAACAATATTGTTGTTGCTCCCGCTGACAAGGGTGGCGCTGCTGTCGTCATGGACAGAATTGAATACGTCAACAAGGCGAATGGAATCTTCGGTGACGTAGCGTCCTACATTCTTCTTGCCGAAGACCCGACGAAAAAGCAAGCCGCTGCCATCAAGAAAAAGGTTAATGAGCTCACTCGTCTGAAAGTTATAAGGCCAGATGATTCCAAGCTGATGACCCTCAGTGATCCCCATATCGCACGCATGTATGGTCTCCCAAAAGTGCATAAAGTGGACGCCCCACTGAGGATTATTGTACCACTCATCGGATCACCTACGTACAATATAGCTAAGTGGTTGTACAAGCATCTGAAGCAGTTAACCCATGGATCTGACTACAGCATCAACAATTCTCTCGCGTTCCTCCAAAGGATCCAAGGACTCGAAGTAAGTGCCGATAAATGCCTCCTGTCCTTTGACGTCGTTGCCTTATTTTCTTCCGTACCACACGATTTGGCAATTGACTGCGTAGCCCAACGCTTACAGGAGAATCCTATTGAGATTCCAACTCAGCATATTATAGAACTGCTCAATCTCTGCCTTAGAAACTACTGTCAATTCGATAATAAGTTCTACCAACAGGTAAAGGGAACCCCAATGGGCTCGCCAATATCTGGACTGCTCGCAGAACTTGCATTGCAGCGACTAGAAAAGGAGGTTTTCGAAGATCTCAGCCCCAAAGTGTGGCTTCGCTATGTAGACGATACCTTTGTCGTGATAAAGAACTGCGAAGTTGAACGGCTGCATCAGAGGCTGAATGACGTCTTCCCGGCCATACAGTTTACTCGTGAAGAGGCAATAAGGGACAGCCTGCCGTTTCTTGATGTGAAAATACAAAGGCTGAGCGATGGTAGTCTCGCGACGAGCGCCCATAGGAAAGGATCTAATTCCGAAATTATCCTCAATTATGGAAGCAACCACCCCGCAGCTCACAAAAGGAGCTGCGTTCGAACTCTATTCCACCGGGCCTATCGTTATTGCAACAGTGACGATCTCCTTAAGAAAGAGCTTGCCTACTTGTATCGGTTGTTTCGATCCAACGGATATCCGACAAGTTTCGTAAAGAACTGCCTCAGACACCAGGCACAACCGCAGGCTCCCACCCTCAACGGGGAAACTGTGTCTCGACAATTCTTCTCCCTGCCTTATCTGCAAGGAGCGTCCGAAGTAATCGCCCGGCAGTTAAATCGCTCTGGTATTCGCATCGCCCACAAACCAGCATCCTCACTACGCGCGGCGCTATCTCGAATCAAGGATCCCCTCCCCAAAGAGCAACAAACAAACGTAATTTATCGCATCCCGTGCTCAAATTGCTCTTGCGTGTATGTTGGTCATACAGGTCGAAGCCTGGGCACCCGTATTAATGAACACAAACTGGCTGTCCGTCGGCGAGACCCTCTGTCCCTCGTCTTTGCTCACGCACTCGACTGCGACCACCGATTCAATTGGGATGGCACTGAGGTCGTCGCCATGGCTAACACAAAACGGGCGAGAGAATTTCTCGAGGCTTGGTACTCCGATGCTGGTAGTATCAACCGCCATGTTGACCTGGACGCCCATTATGAGGGCCTACGCTCACGACTTACTGCCCCCCGCCCTAATGCCACAGCAACGGCCGCCAATTTAGCCACCCGGAGTCCAATTGATCCACCATTACACCCTCCCCCTCCAGCACAGGCATCCATAATTGTTCCACCTCCCCCCTCGCTCAGAGTCCTACAATGACTTTGTGATCATCCCTCTCATAGGCCGATAGTCTGTCTGCCCTGTCGCGCTAATTAGTCCAGTGTAACAAACAAACTTTCTCCCCTGTTATCATTTCGTCTGAAGACGGGTTGGTGTCACCAGCTCGAAAATTCACGAGTACAACTCGATTTTTCCGAAGAACGTCTTCCTGTTTACAATATATATATATATATATATATATATATATATATATAACCGACAGGGCAACGGGCTCGTGGCCCGGTGAGTAGAGGCGTTGACTTCTAAACCAACAGGTCGCGAGTTCGAGGCTCGGGTGTTCCACACTTCGGGCTTGGGTATGGCTGGCTGACGACGG